ATTATTAAGGGAAAACAAAATCCAAAACTACAAAGCCCTGTGTGAATAAGTGTTTGCCCCCTAAACCTAATAACTGGTTGGGCCACCCTTAGCAGCAACAACTGCAATCAAGCGTTTTCGATAACTTGCCATGAGTCTTTTACAGCGCTGTGGAGGAATTTTGGCCCACTCATCTTTGCAGAATTGTTGTAAGTCAGCCACATTGGAGGGTTTTCGGGCATGAACTGCCTTTTTAAGGTCATGCCACAGCATCTCAATTGGATTCAGGTCAGGACTTTGACTAGGCCACTCCAAAGTCTTCATTTTGTTTTTCTTCAGCCATTCAGAAGTGGACTTGCTGGTGTGCTTTGGATCATTGTCCTGCTGCAGAACCCAAGTTCGCTTCAGCTTGAGGTCACAAACGGATGGCCGGACATTCTCCTTCAGGATATTTTGGTACACAGCAGAATTCATGGTTCCATTTATCACAGCAAGTCTTCCAGGGGCTGAAGCAGCAAAACAGCCCCAGACCATCCCACTACCACCACCATATTTTACTGTTGGTATGATGTTCTTTTTCTGAAATGCGGTGTTACTTTTACGCCACACATAATGGGACACACACCTTCCAAAAAGTTCAACTTTTGTCTCGTCTGTCCACAGAGTATTATTCCAAAAGTCTTGGGGATCATCAAGATGTTTTCTGGCAAAACTGAGACGGCCCTTTATGTTCTTTTGGCTCAGCAGTGGTTTTCGTCTTGGAACTCTGCCATGCAAACCATTTTTGCCCAGTCTCTTTCTTATGGTGGAGTCATGAACACTCACCTTAACTGAGGCAAGTGAGGCCTGCAGTTCTTTGGATGTTGTTGTGGGGTCTTTTGTGACCTCTTGGATGAGTTGTCGCTGCGCTCTTGGGGTAATTTTGGTCGGCTGGCCACTCCTGGGAAGGTTCTCCACTGTTCCATGTTTTCGCCATTTGTGGATAATGGCTCTCACTGTGGTTCGCTGCAGTCCCAAAGCTTTAGAAATGGCTTTATAACCTTTTCCAAACTGATAGAGCTCAATTATTCTCTTTCTCATTTGGTTTTGAATTTCTTTGGATCTTGGCATGATGTCTAGCTTTTGAGGATCTTTTGGTCTACTTCACTTTGTCAGGCAGGTCCTATTTAAGTGATTTCTTGATTGCGAACAGGTGTGGCAGTAATCGGGCATGGGTGTGGCTAGAGAAATTGAACTGAGGGGCGATAAACCAGAGTTAAGTTATGTTTTGACAGGGGGGGCCAACACTTATTCACACAGGGCTTTGTAGTTTTGGATTTTGTTTTCCCTTAATAATAAAAACCTTCATTTAAAAACTGCATGATGTGTTTACTTGTGTTATCGTTGACTAATATTTAAATTTGTTTGATGATCTGAAACATTACAGTGTGACAAACATGCAAAAAGATAAGAAATCAGTAAGGGGGCAAATACTTTTTCACACCACTGTATTTCCCCCATTGCGGAATTAATTATGGGAGTAATACTCTTGTCCTTGATTTCTATATCTCTCTCAAATACTATATCTTGTCTTGTTCTTGCGTATCTTTGATTTGTTCTCAGGGATTAATTGTGGGAGGACCATTCTGATTGTCTCTCAAATACTATATTCTGTCTGGTTTTAGGTACTTTGGAATTTGTTTCTCAAGATATGTGTGTGGTGTTTGTTCTTATGGTGTTTTGTTGCTGCTGGAACACAGGAATTTCCCCATTGTGGGATCAATAAAGTCCTACCTACCTACCATACCTATCATGATCCACTTTTATTAAAATTTCATTACTGTGGGATTTACTAGTGAGTAAAATGCGTGGGTACATTCATGAGGGTGGTCTGCTGTCAGGTGTTGGTGAAAAGCTGCTCCACCCCATTAATAACAGATGCACACACAGACACACATAGTGTGGTTTTAGAAACCAGGGAACTTGACCCCAGCGTGTTGAGTGCCTGTCACTGGGATGAAATGAAGGCTGGTAGAAGTGCTTTAGTTGGAGCCTCACTAAGTAGGAGGTCCACAGCTCAGCATACTTCTAGCGACTCAGCCAACCACCCAGCCACCTAACCCGTCTCCAGGACTTCGGCACCTTTATCAAGCACCTACTGTACCTTAGACCCATTTGTTCCCCGGCCAGTTGATCTCCAGTATCCAGACAAAACAACGCATAAGTCTAGAAATAACCAAATTAATTTGAGCCTGTCATCCACAGAATGTGGATGCATATGTCTGTATGATTCAGTGAGACATCTATAATATTTCATCATTTAATGTGACCATCTACTCAGGTGTTCTAATGTGGTTAATGGAGGAAATTGGGTATCACTTAGCACAAAGTTTACAGTCTGGAAACTAGTAAACTTGTTATCCTCGTGCTTCTCTAGTTCTGTTGCTACCAGTAATAACTACATTTCTACAAACCTGCTCTTGTTTGCCTTTGGTCTTCCCCTCAGTAATATTAGTAAGGTACAATGACATATAGGCCCTGATCCTGAACATCCAGGCATGTCTTCTCTACATTGATTTTCTCATACAAATGCAGTCGTCCAAAATTAAAATGTATGGCTCTATAGATTAATAGCTCTACTATACTGTAATATATAAAACTGGAAAAAAGCATTACTCTAACAGCAGCAATAAAACAACTCGAAAGCAAGGTTGGATCATTGTGAGCCTATCTCTGTATTGCTCGCTCATGGAATTAGGCCTGATCTCAGAATATTGCTCATCTGTCATCCTCTCGCTTCCCCTGGGAGCACTGCTGGAAAATTCAACTGAGGAAAAGTCCGGAGCGCAGAACACTCTCTGATGGATGATCCAGCCCATTGTGTGAGGAGGGAGAGTAAACCACAAGCTGAGCCCGTGCACGATGCCCACATTTTCCCCTTTCTTCTTTCCTTAGCAGTGGAAAACATTCTCCCTAAACCATTTGCTCCATATTTTATAACTGAAAGCTGCAGTGTTACACTTGTGACAGCATTTGCCTGCAAAGGCATCTTTCACAGGATGTTTTTGATATGTTTTGTGTGTCTCTGGACACACAAGCGTTTGCCTCACTGGGTCACACATGTTTATTTATTTACTTATTTTTTTTGCTGAAATATCTGCATGTTCTGTTATCCATTGTGTAGGCGGTATAATTAAGCGCTGAATAATTGTCTCAAGCTTCTTTTTTTTAAAGTCAGTTTAGGGTAGGGGTGAATCATACTTGTGTTGGAAACAGCTCAACTTTAGAAGACGACAGAGCTGTTGGAACTTGAAGCAGATGTTGATAAAGTCAAGTAGGATTGTGTAACAGTTCTTGGACAGCTGAAGCTTGAGAATTGGAGCATTAACCAACATATGGGTCACATTAAATATGTCTTGAACAACACACATTTCTCAGGAAATCACTTTCAAACCGATAAATATTTTTAGTACAATCAGGAGAGTGAGAAAGAAAGAAACAAGCCCTTGTTTGAAAGTACTGTGTAGGTGTTGAGAGACTACTGGTTAGTATTACGGGGTCAAGCTCGGCTGTCTGCTTCTCAAATTAAAAGCTGTAACTCAGACAACAGAGCTTAGATAGTTCTCTTTTCTGCCACAGTGTCACTCATTAAAGAGAAACCTTTTCTCAGCTGTGTTGTAAGATTCCCCTGTAGCACTTCACAAGGCAGATAAGTTAAGGGGGGGGTTCCTCATTAGTGGCTTTTCTGTCTGCCATATAATTGTTGGTAACTGTATTGTAGAAAAGGGAAAAGATTTAGATAAGATGTTTTATCCACAACTCACTGGGGGCAGCTGTAGGTTTAAATCAGGGTTTGAATCCTGGAATGACTGTAGAAATCTTGTCACGTAAAGCAAATGAAGATTGTATGAGGCTCTCAGATGTCAAGTTTACAAAGGCACTTTTACATTTTCAGTGTGTGGAGCTGCTTAGTGAGCGTGGTAGACAGCTGTAGTTTATATTGTTTCTTGCCCCAGGCCGTCACTGATGAACACTTAACCAACGACAGTATGACTGGACAAAAACCCTCAGTGTGATACCTGTAAATATACCTTGTACAGATTATACAGATCCGTACAGGTTTCTATTTTAAGTACTCTGTTTTATTCCTATTTATCCCATCTCACAATGAGCATTCCTTGTGTGTCTGCATTGTTTACTGCCTGTTTATACTACTTATTTTGCATTGTTTGCACTGTTTGCTTGTTAATACTGCTTATTTTGTTATATTACACAGCCTTATGCTGGTTTACTGTTTACTTGCCCCTTGCATGGGGATGTGTACATGCACATTGAGAGCTGATGTACCTGAGTCAAATTCCTCGTGTGTCTGACACACCTGGCCAATAAAGCTGATTCTGATTCTGATGTTTTTATTAAATAGCCACACTTGTGTTAAAACAGGACAGGTTTTGCACATTGTATCCATTTTCCTGTAAATACTAAGACTTGTTCCCTCAGCTATATAATTTTGTGGTGTCTTGTGCTCGCTGCTAAATTTGTCTTCACAGTTTGTAATCAGAAATAGGCTGGAGTGGGTTATAACTGCAGTGTCACTAAAAACAAACTATTCTCAGCATGGGACAGATAATACAGTACATTAACACTTTTGTTTATTTGTTGGTAGTACTGAAAATACATGCATGAAATCTGCTTATACATTCCTCTTCCCATCCCTGTTGATTTTTGTGACTGGATGACCCATGCAGCACCAACGTCCCGCTCTCTGACTAATATAGCTCTTGTCATCTGCTCACTGCTGTGAGTGTGAAGAAAACTGCCACATAGAATAAACTGGTGCACGCCTGTAACTCTTGTGCCATTTTCTAGTTCAGCATTTCTAAACTAAGGCTTTGAATGCTGTAGATGCCCTGATATTGTGAGCGTAATTGTTTTTACTTAATCAGAGCTGTCAGTTTTGACTGGCCTCATGGTGACTGATGACATTTAATTAATTATCCACATCCAATTAACTGTCCTTTTTTTTCCCCCTCTCTTTTCAGAACTCTATGAATCTTCCTCCAGACAAAGCCCGACTATTGCGGCAGTACGACAATGAGAAAAAGTGGGAACTCGTCTGCGACCAGGTGGGAAACCATCACTCACTGGCGATATGATGTGACGTAACAGCTGTATGACCCTGTTTAGAAACGACCACTGTATGAACTGAATGTCTCATCCTGGAGAACATCTGTCCCACTGTGTGTCATGACCACAGCACCCATGCTCCACTGCCCTGCTTTTATAGTCTTAAGCGTCTCTCGGTCTTTGCACACTGCCCTGACCTCCCTGGTCAAGTGGGTTAAGTGGCGCAGCAGGGAGCACGCATCAGTTAGTTAGTTTAAAAAAAAAAAACAGCCTGTTGCTGGTGTCGGTGCTGCGTGTAGGAAATAGCAGAGGTTCTTGTGGGCTCCACTCAACTCGCAACCACCGCGGCAGAGTTCTTCTACATCTCTGAGCCAAAAAAGAGAAATGGAAACAAGATCAAAACCAGCACACGCTCAAAGTGTAGCGGTAGCCACTGACCCTGAAGTGAGCAGTGTTGGAGAAAGTTTGCCGGGCTGCTGACCTGCACTTTCAGTTTGAGGTGGACACTGTCTTCTTTCAGACCTGAAGTGAAAGTAGTTGGTTTCCTTTTTTTGCCAGTGAAGCAGTTGACAAAAAGCATCACAAGGCACATTGATACTTGCTCACTTACTGTAAAAGAGAAGAAAATGCAAATACCATTAGTGTATGCTGTCCACATGAAGCAGTGTTATCCGTTGCATTGTAAATCATAAATAAAGGGCCTAAAGTGTGTGTTTTTGGTGTAACGCAGTTCATTTCCCATCATTTTAATGCTCAGATAGCAAAGAATACTGCTTGACAAGTCCTCAGTTGTCTTTATTTCCCTCCTGTTTTTCCAACAAACCTGTAGCCATGACAGCAGCTCTGGGAGTAAAGTATTTTCATGTCATAGCTACAGTGAATATCTAACTGTAACCATGGGAACAGTGATGGAGGAAGGCTGAGAACCAGACAGGTTACATCTCCTTTAGAAAACCGGCCCTGCAAACAGCACTAGAGCCTGAAATATTAAACATTTTTCAGGCAATTATGAGGATTGATGAAAAACGGGGAATGCTCTTGATGTGAACACAAGGTCAAAACAAAGAAAGAGATACGAGATATAAGTGTCAGATCCTGTGGCTAAAGTTTGTTCCCCCAACAGAACTTTCTAGAGAAGTTGGTCATGCACTGTATATGTGTGTCAAGCAACTGTGTGCCCACTCTCATGTTAACTGATTCCCCTCTTGAGTCTCTGCTCCACTCCTCAGATGCAGAGGGGAAAATGTACCTCACCTCTCACATTTAATCCAAACCAGCTTCCCTAGACAGACTCTGCAACTGAGAGCACATGGAAACCCATTAATAAGAGCACCTAAAAACCAGACATGTGTTCTCTATAATAAAGTCTCTCATCTTTATGTATTTATACTTTCATTCCTTCTGTTCCTTTGTGTGTAACAGGATCTACGCAGTAACTGTGGACTCACTTATTATATCACAGACTGCCAGATCTTAATCTTAATTCTTTAACCATGAACCATCAGCCTGATCTAAATATTGTCTCACCGCTCAACACACTGATCTATTTATATTTAGAGCACAACGGCGTGAGGGATTTAACATAAAACCTGGTCCTGGCTGAACTCAGGACGTATACACACAACCACACAGGTGCAGACACACCTGTGTTATAACACATTAAAGCTATGGACCATAATTACCAGAAAGATCATTTATGACCTCCTGCAGACTGAATGACCTTAACAGTTAAGTGTCTTTGCTCAGTGTTTTCCGACAGTGACCAGGTACCTTTCTGCTCTCACGCAGCTAAACACAACCAAAGATGAAGACATCTCTGTCTGGATGTTTTGCAAATAGAAGCGTGGAGATATCTCCTTCTTAAAGCAGAGTATGATCTGGGGTTCCCATCAACTGAAGACTGTCATTTACCCAAAGTTTGTTCAGTTTTAATCTGATGGTTTTGTTGTTAACAGCATTCTAACTGTATTGAATGAACAGAATGACTGTCACATAAAACTGCAGCACTACCTTAAACTAAAGCTGAAATCATAACTGTACTCTAAGTAAAATGTCTCCTTGTTTTTCTTCCCTTTTTCCATTTCCTTCCTCTTGCTTTACATTTTTAACAGGAGCGATTCCAAGTGAAAAACCCGCCTCACACGTACCTCCAAAAGCTGAGGAGCTATCTAGACCCTGCAGTCACAAGAAAGGTGAGTGCCCTCCTGCTAACGTGCTATCCTGTTCTGGCAGCCAGGCTGTTCCAGTGCTGTAGCTTTTCCTTCCCCTCTGACCCTGACCAGGATGCCCCTACAACTGAAGAAAATTTGTAAATAGGGCTTCTGGAGGAGACAGCTTAAGAACTTGAATTACAAAACATGCAATAGTTTGGTTTAGTGAGAAAGGGGACAACTATGTTTCTGGAACACCCGGATTTGAGAAGTCTCTGCCCAGCTACATTGCCATTAGGCAAAACACATCAGTCCCTAGTGGTGCTGTTTTGCAGCTGACGGCGTGCTCTGACCTCTCCTTGAGGGAGAGTGACACAAAAATAAAAAGCACAATAGTTGCATGAAGGCAGGAGAGACGATAGTAGTGCTGCAGACAGACAGAATTATTGCTGCACAGACATTGCCTTGGAGCGCAGCAGGAACTAACAGAAGATAACGGAAGTGTATTGGCTATTTTTTCCCAGCCACTTCTGGATGTCTCCCTGTGGCCTTGGAAGGGGAAGAGGAGGGACTTCATTAAGCAAAGTACTAGCCAGCTCTTAGTCTTTGCCAAAATTAGTCTTTTTGGCTGGGCTTGCTGAGAGGCCAGTCTCTGTCATAAACAAATTAACCAGCAGGCTTTGCCAGAATAACAACAAATTGCTGAATAATTTAATTTGCACTTACTGGAGTTAAAATTTTTTACAGCACACTTGGGCAACATGACCTTTTTTAGAAAACCAGAGACAGAGGTTTTTGGTTTAATGGTCTTGTATTAAACAGTAAAGTAGCTAAGAGTGATAGGAGAAATGGAAAGTTGACTGAATCATTGGCTGTTGGTTAACTAAAAGTAACTGATAATTAGTTGGAAAGTCCCGGATAATGGTTGAAACGGATAAAAATATTGCATTAACAGATCAGTTTTGTGAACATGTAGTACTAACATTTTAAAATGATTTCAAATGGATCACTTTTGGTCAATAGTGTTGATGAAGAGTTTATCTACAATAATACCTGAGAGCTCACACAGAACTAGGGTTGATCAAGGCAAGACACAGAAGGAAAGCAACACAAGTTAAAGGAGACTTGATAGACATAACGGTGTAAAGGTTAAAGCATGGCAGTTTGTGTCAGGGCAGTCCCAAGGTTAGAGGAGGTTAGAGCAGGATTGCTGACAAATGGTATGAATCTACAGATCAGCTGTGAAAATAGAGATTAAATCCCACCCTCTTCTTCCTGCTGGAGTGTTTCTGAGCAAGGCACTTGGCACCCAACTGCCCTTTGAGAGCCAATCAGTTACTATGTCTGCAATATGTTGCTTTTGTGGATTTCCTTTTTGTTTTTGTGTTGTTGGTGTGGTTGGGAGTGTTGTGACGTGATGCACGGTGATCTATTAACTATGCTATGCTTCAGCTAACCAGGCAGCAGCCAGCTAACCACCCCAGCACCTCTAGAGCTCACTAACTGCACTGTTATATCTGTAGAAACAGGTAGTAGTGTGGAATGTTTACCCCTGTTTCCACTTTTTATGCCTAGCATGGCAGCGAAGTGGTTGCTGTGGCTGTGTGAAAGCACTCTAGAAGAGAGAATTTTTGAGAGACTTGCCAAAACCTCTTTTTATTTATTTATCTTGTTTTTAATGTTGAGTCTCCTGGGCTGAGACACATGGGATTTTGTAAAAATGATCCTGACTTTAAATGCTGCATCAGCCTATTTCTCTGATCAGAAACTTGATGCAGACAGGGATGCAGGGATTGAATGAAAGGGCAGAGGAGATGTAGGGAAGGAGAAAGACTGAATGATAGAGATAGGGAAGAGCTGGAGAAAGAGATGGCTACTGAACAGGAGAGAGAGACAGAAAAGAATCACAAGAGCAAAGAGGAAAAGAGACTTGTGGGGTTCTTCCTGCTCCATCCCCCTTTTCTTCAAACTCAAACAATTGCCACTTTGTGCCGCTGTGAGAGAGCTGGAGGTCATTGCCTCTCCTTTCCATAGGCAGGCTCTGGTGCATTCCTCTGGGCAGCCCCGAGCCAATAAGCAGCCAAGGAGGAAGAGCTCTAGTCCAACTAGTCCCCAAGAATGTGTCAGCCATTGATTTGGTTCCAGGATGACCCCTCCTGAGCTCGTACTCCCCCAAATCTCTCTTCTCTTCACTCCTCCACACTTTCAGTGCTGTCTCCCTGTTCTTACTTTCCCCTTTCATTGATCGCTTCCTGTCCCCTCCTCCTCTTTCTCTCCATTTCCACTCACGCTGTCTTCACCTTCTCTGTCAGTTCCTCTTTCTTTCTGCTCTCTCTCTCTCTCTGATGCAGCTGGTAGTGTTTAAAGTGTGGAGTGTTTGGTGGGAGAGGGAGGAGAACGGGAGGGATGCCTCTGGGGGCTTGCGCAGCACCCCTAAAATATGCTCTGCTTTTTGCACAAACACATAAAGGGCTCCTCCCTAATAAAAACACTGTTTCTCATCTCCTCATGTGCCAAAGACACACACTGCCCGAGCCCAAAGACACAGACTAGAGAGAGAGAGAGACAGAGACGGACCCTAGCTATGGGAACAGCTCTGTTCTTTGTGAATGTTAATAATAGGTTAGCACCGAGCAGAGCTCAGTTTTCTCCCTGATACCTTCTCATCTCTTAATCATTTGGTCCATTCAGTGTCAGAATAAAGTGAAACATGTCCACCCACTAAACTCAGACACATTTAGTTTATAGTTCTGTAAAACAGAGCAACACTGCAAATCGTCATGTTTGAAGAGCTGGAGGAATTTTTTTTTTACATTTCTGCTTGAAAAATGATTAATCAATGCAGATCAGTTATCTGTTGATCAGCATGCGGAACTGCAGTAAATAGTGATGATTAAAAGCTGAATCTGACTTTTCTTTTCCCGGGAAACATTTTGGCCCGTTGTTGTTAGCAGGGAGTTTCCCCTCCAATCACACTGAGGCTGTTTGGTCGTCGCTGGTCATTCACTTTGCTTGTTTGCATCCTGTCAGAGGATGAAATCAAAGAGCAACTCACTTTTTCTGCTGTGTTTTGTGTTGTGTGTGTTTTTTTTTTTTTTTTGGTTAATTCACTTGCACTTCATACCACCATGTTCACCGCTCACACACTTTGTTGTAGGTGTAGCCACAGTAACAGGGCCAAGAATGTGGACCTGTGTACATGGCGTGTTTGTGTGGCTGCTGGGTGTCCTGTTAGGGCTTGAGAGGTTCCCAGTGAGGTTATATCAGTTTATCACGTCGCTACAAGGAGGATTGCTGCTGTCGAAAGAACATGAGCTACAGAAATAATGGGAACTATTCTATATTCACAGTTTCCAGTGAGTCAGCTCCCCTTCTATTTTAGCTCACTGAGTGGTTACTGGCAAGTTGGTTAAAAATCTTATGAGAACAACCCAATCCCAGCTTTGATTTTTCTCTGTTTTAATCTGTGCCTGGCTTTCTTGCTTTCACGGTTGTGTCTGTGTCTGTTTGTCTGACTTTTCTGTCAGAAAACATTTTCATCAGCCAAAACATCCCTGTGCTACCACTTGATGATTTACAGTTCTGGTGGTATGATGAAATATTAACTTCCCCCATTGTCTCCTTCCTCAGAAATTCAGACGGAGGGTTCAGGAGTCCACCCAAGTCTTGAGAGAACTGGAAATTTCGTTACGGACCAATCACATAGGGTGAGTCACTGCAGGACTGTGCAAAGCTTGTGTAGTGTTGAGTGTCCCAGACCTCATTATATTAGATTCAGGGGGAAAAGTCTGGCATTCCAGACACTTGGAGACACAGACGTTGACACTTACCACCATCCCCCATTCATGTCTGTGCTGTGGCCTAATATTGCACAGAAAACCATGTGGCGATGCAGAAAAGATTAATCGATTGATCGCTCAGGGCGGCTGACATATGAACAGCCTCTGAAGGAAAAATACATTTTTCTTGCAGTAATTGAACTGCACAGCTTGATGCATCAGTGCTCCAGGCTGCCATCCCGAACGGGTAATATTGTAGATGTTACTAAAGAGATTATGATTTCACAACAGATAAAAACAGCAGAGTATTCGTCTGTAATTCCAGGTTAACACGCCTGAACCTGCCGCAGCTGATATCGATTCAGTGCTCTACAGTCAGCCTCAAGGAGCGATCAATATCTCAATGAGTCGTACTTGGTCTCTTGTGTTTTGTCTTGCTCTAGATCACATGGCCAGTCCATCTGATTTAGAGACCCTGGTGGTCAGAGATTGTGATGGATTTCTCAGCATCATTAATGAGGCCTAATTCACTCTGGGATGTGTAGGATCCAGGGGCCTCATTTATCAGGGTGATTTCTAAATGAATGAAGATACAGCACGGGGATAAAAGCAGATCTTTATTTTTTTTAATGTGATGGTCAAATAAAAATGTCAGTGCACAAAAGAGTGACTCTACAAAGTACTACAGTACTGTGCAAAGGTCTTAGGCCACCATTTGATTTGTTGTATATATTTATTTATTTATCAGAATACAACAGGAAAAGGGTACTCAGGATGTGATATTCAAGCTGTTCTAAAGAAATATGAGGAATCCAGAGAAGTCAAGGACAAAAACAGGAGTAGAAGCGCAAGAAAACTGTCAAAATTCTTCTTTGAGAGACTGGAGGAAATCCAGCAAGGACCTGGCTCAGCATCTGGCAGCTTCATCTGGATGCTAAGCTGATCCTTCCACAGCCCAAAGAAGCTTGATCAGGAACGGCCTTTGTGGAAGGACAGTAGCCAAGAAACCGCTTTTTCAGAAGGGGAACAGGAAGAAAAGGCTGAGATATGCAAAAGCTCTTAAAGACTGGAGTGAAGATCAGTGGAAGGAGTACTGAACGGAGTAATGAATTAAAGTTTGAAATGTTCGGGTCCAGTTGTCAGCACTGTGTGAGACAGAATGAGTGCTCACAGCCTTCAGTGAAACTTGGTGGAGGGTCTGTCATGGTTTCAAGACTTCAAGACAAGCTTGAATTCTGCCCAAGAGAATTCAAGCTGTCATGCCAAAAACTGACTTTGGACTGTAGAAGCCATTCTATCCTGAACATTTTTTTATACTGTGTGCATTTTTTCTAGTTATATCTCAATAAAGAGACTGAGAAATAAATATAAATTATCATTGCAGCCTTGCTAAAAAGCAAAACTAATGGGGGCCTAAGACCTTTGCACAGTACTGTACTTTTAGTGTATTCATAAATGACCAATTTGCTTAATTGTTGCATTAAAAATATTCTTTAAAATGATTTAACTGTTTGATGCTGCACTAGCTGCTGCTAACAGGAATGAATCTGAGCATGAGTGGTTGCGTTGTCCATGACGAATGCTAAATGTGTGGGGCGGCGAAAATGTTACTCAGAAAGAAGCAGGTTTGTTTGTGTGTAATTTAGGAACTGGTTTACCAACGATGACTTAGAAATTGATATATTGGATTCTCTGTGTAGTAACGAGCACACACGGTTCAAGTTAAAACTGTACATATGGATAGCGAATGAATTAGACCTCAGGATGCATTGGTAGGAATGAGGATGAGGGGTGAGCAGCTGGGAGACATGGAGATGTAGAGACCCCGTCGAGGACAGGAAGAGGCGATGGGGAGAGCATCCGCTGGTCACAGCCTGTTGTGACAGCAGAGAGGCAGTGATAGACTAGTTACACAATCATCACAAGACCTCAAATACACACACCCACATTATCTAAACTTCATCTCGTAAATCAGTTTTTTTTTCTTCCTCACACACACACACACACACACATTACTTCAGTTCATCTGTTTTCCTCTCACAGAAAATCACAAATCATCTCATCATGTTTCTGACAGCGCTGTCTCTCACACTCCAACACACTGCTAACACACTGCTTACACACTGATCAAATTTTGCTTTTACATCTGTCTGGCAGAGCCGTCGAGTCAGTGTTTACTAGGATTAGCTCTTTTTGGCGACCTTATTTTGGTAAACTAGATTCAATGATCTACCTAATCTAGACTAGACAATGAAACAGTCCCATAATGGCAGAGTGACGGGGAAAGAGAAAGAGAGATTGAGAGCGGCGGGGGCAGGGGATGACGAGGGAGCAAGATGTCACCCACTCAGACAGAGAATAATTACTGCTTCTTTTGAGAGGGGAAACAGAGAAATGTATCTCTCATGTAGGGTGCGTATAATAGGCAGCTTGTCCTCGTATGAGCACTGCTGATGCAAACCCCAGCTCCCTGCCTGCTGCTCACATGTTGCTCAGTGCTCAACAACATGTGGTGAATGGGAGGATTGTTAGTGTCCTGTGGTAATGATTACCATGTGGCCTGACGAGACCACAGCGCCGAGCCTTTTGAAAGCACGACGTGTCCCACCAGGCACCGCTTTACTGGACGTTCTTGTTAGTCTTACTTGCTCCCATGCAGTTATACAACAGGGGAGCTAATAAAGAAGCAGCTAGTGGATTTTAAAAACTGTTTAACGTTACATCTTCATCAATGCAATACTTCTCAAAAGCCTGTCTGTGAGTCATCATGTATGTACATACAAGCCCTCCAGATTTATTTAATCGCTAGTAATCAGGCCCGTCATAGCAGTTGGGGTCTCCAATAAAAATATACCACACTGTTATAAGATGCAATTAAAGTAAGATGTGATTCAGCTCACACTGGTTATAAATATGGAGGGGGAAAAGAACATGCTGAGAGAAGTGGGAGTTTTCCTGTGAAAAGCTCATCTTTTCTGTGCAAAATAAAAAAAATGCATGGGTGGCCCACTTCAGTGTCTTTAAGGAAGGTGACAATAGGCCTTTAATTATTTTGGGAGCTTGTCTTTGCCAGAGTTAGAAACTCTGTGTGTGTGTGTGTGTGTGTGTGTACACTTTTGTCTATAGCTGTTTATCATTGTGAGGACATTTTGAGCTGGACTCACAACTTTAAAGGGCTGTTAGTTTTAGGGTTGAGGGTAGAATGAGGTTTAGGTGAGGGTTAGGGAAAGGGCCAAGGAATGCATTATGTCATTGAAGACTGTTTGTGTGTGGGTGGGGGGGTAGAGTAACAGACAAAAGAGGCACACTCTGTCATGAGTTTGTGTGTATGTGCTTGTGGATGCCTGTGCTTTTTTTTTGCTCTTTAAGCAAACACAAGCATGTGTGTGATACGTTTGCTGTTGTGAGCCAGGAAGCTTTGAAGTCTGTCAAACGGGTCATTACAGTTCTTCTTGGCAAAGGGGGGGAACTTGAGCAGGAGGGGGTGAATAATCTGAAAACATTTGTACACCAAGGTCTGGTCTGGTCAAAGCCTGCATTGTGCTAGAAAATGGAAATGATATAATATATGCTTTACAGATAAACAAGAGTATATTAAAAGTGCCATAACAGCAAGTGATTTTCCTGATGTTTCGACTTACAGAACACATACTATGTGTGTTGGGATGTCGATATTTACCTAGATGTTAAAAATGACCACAAAACAGTTTTAAAAAAGGAAATTCTTACAATTTCTATTTCAAAGCATTGTTTATTTTTTCCAGCGTTAAGCGCCGTTTTTTTTTTTTTTTTTTTTTTAACTGTGAAAGTGATGAAGAGTTTCTGCTGAAACAGATTAAACTCAGAAACTCGCACTACTATAAAAACATGCTCTACTTTTAGATCTCTTACCTAAAACTAATCAGTTTGTCTGCTGACTTTGTTGTTGTCTCTCCTCAGGTGGGTGAGAGAATTTCTAAATGAAGAAAACAAAGGCCTGGACGTGCTGGTGGAGTACCTTTCTTTCGCACAATATGCTGTCACGTAAGTCGCTACTAGTTCTTTTTCTATCACTGTAGTCAGTATGCAGAACAGACAACCAACACAATGCTGCTCTTCTGCACAGTCACTGATGCATCTCTGCACGGCACCACCACCAACACAACCACTGCTGCCTGGTTGTCAGAAACACTGAGTCACTTGGGGCCCATTGCTGACACATTGGCGCTGCAATTTATACCAACCATAGGCTTCTATTCGTGGACTGACGATGTGATTATTAGTCAGTCACAGGGTTCCTGTTCAGAGCCAAAGAGCTGCATAGTTAAATTTTTAATTCACCCCCATCACTTCACCATATGTTATTATGGTCTGTCCACATTATGAATGGTTAGCCGTAAAAATGTGTTTATCATTATTACCACTGCAACAGAAGCATAAAAATGACCATCTAAAAACTGAAATAGATCATAACAGATATGCTGCAACTAGCTCTTTCCACAGTTTCTGCCAAGTACAACAAAATCTCTGCTTCCTCATCGGAAGACATGGCAGGGGCTCAGAGGTGTACTCGTCCATCACCCATGCTGAAGTCACCAAGGTAGTTGAGAAGCTTCTCGGTGGCAAGGCACCGGGGCGGGGTTGGATGAGATCCACCCTGAGTACCTTAAGTCTCTGGATGTTGTGGGGCTGTCTTGGCTGACATGTCTCTGCAACATCGCATGGTGGTTGGGGACAGTGCCTCTGGACTGACAGACCGGGGTGGTGGTCCCTCTTTTTAAGAAGGGGGACCGGAGGGTGTGTTCCAACTATAGGGGGATCACACTCCTCAGCCTCCCCGGGAAAGTCTATGCCAGGGTACTGGAGAGGAGAATTCGACCGATAGTCGAACCTCGGATTCAGGAGGAACAATGCGGTTTTCGTCCTGGCCGTGGAACACTGGACCAGCTCTATACCCTCTTCAGGGTGGCGGAGGGTTCATGGGAGTTTGCCCAACCAGTCCACATGTGTTTCGTGGATCTGGAGAAGGCATTCGACCGTGTCCCTTGCAGCACCCTGTGCGGGGTGCTCCGGGAGTACGGGGTCCGGGGCCCTGTGCTAAGGGCCGTCCGGTCCCTGTACGACCGGAGCAGGAGCTTGGTTTGCATCGCCGGCAGTAAGTCAGACTTGTTTCCAGTGCATGTTTGACTCCGGCAGGGCTGCCCTTTGTCACCGGTTCTGTTCATTATTTTTATGGACAGAATTTCTAGGCGCAGTTCATAAACTGTGTATATGAACATGTATTTCATACTTATAAGCACTTTATTTTTATTTTCCAAATGCACATGCCTTTCTTCTTGTTTGCACATTCTTTTTCTTTTCTTGGTCTCTGTCTTATCTTGTTTACTTGTTGCTGTACAGAAGAGCATTGGACATGCACATTGAGAGCCACTGTACTGAAATCAAATTCCTTGTGTGTTCAATGCACCTGGTCAATAAAGCTCATTCGGATTTTGATTATATTTTATAGTCTTAGCTGGTGATATGACAGACCTGAGCTTTGTGGCTTTCTAGCTGTTAAGGCCTATTTTGTTTTTAGGTGTTTGTACGCTGCCAGTGCTGACAGTATTTGGAGGGTTTTCGGGCATGAACTGCCTTTTTAAGGTCATGCCACAGCATCTCAATTGGATTCAGGTCAGGACTTTGACTAGGCCACTCCAAAGTCTTCATTTTGTTTTTCTTCAGCCATTCAGAAGTGGACTTGCTGGTGTGCTTTGGATCATTGTCCTGCTGCAGAACCCAAGTTCGCTTCAGCTTGAGGTCACAAACGGATGGCCGGACATTCTCCTTCAGGATATTTTGGTACACAGCAGAATTCATGGTTCCATTTATCACAGCAAGTCTTCCAGGGCCTGAAGCAGCAAAACAGCCCCAGACCATCACACTACCACCACCATATTTTACTGTTGGTATGATGTTCTTTTTCTGAAATGCGGTGTTACTTTTACGCCACACATAATGGGACACACACCTTCCAAAAAGTTCAACTTTTGTCTCGTCTGTCCACAGAGTATTATCCCAAAAGTCTTGGGGATCATCAAGATGTTTTCTGGCAAAACTGAGACGAGCCTTTATGTTCTTTTTGCTCAGCAGTGGTTTTCGTCTTGGAACTCTGCCATGCAAACCATTTTTGCCCAGTCTCTTTCTTATGGTGGAGTCATGAACACTCACCTTAACTGAGGCAAGTGAGGCCTGCAGTTCTTTGGATGTTGTTGTGGGGTCTTTTGTGACCTCTTGGATGAGTTGTCGCTGCGCTCTTGGGGTAATTTTGGTCGGCCGGCCACTCCTGGGAAGGTTCTCCACTGTTCCATGTTTTCGCCATTTGTGGATAATGGCTCTCACTGTGGTTCGCTGCAGTCCCAAAGCTTTAGAAATGGCTTTATAACCTTTTCCGGACTGATAGAGCTCCATTATTCTCTTTCTCATTTGTTTTTGAATTTCTTTGGATCTCGGCATGCTGTCTAGCTTTTGAGGATCTTTTGGTCTACTTCACTTTGTCAGGCAGGTCCTATTTAAGTGATTTCTTGATTGCGAACAGGTGTGGCAGTAATCAGGCCTGGGTGTGGCTATAGAAATTGAACTCAGGTGCGATAAACCAGTGTTTTGACAGGGGGGCAAACACTTGTTCACCCAGGGCTATATAGTTTTGGATTTTGTTTTCCCTTAATAATAAAAACCTTCATTTAAAAACTGCATGATGTGTTTACTTGTGTTATCTTTGACTAATATATAAATTTGTTTGACGATCTGAAACATTACAGTGTGACAAACATGCAAAAAGATAAGAAATCAGTAAGGGGGCAAACACTTTTTCACACCACTGTATATGTTTAACAAAACAAATATTTTTATTGTTTTCAGTGAATGATACCTTAATGGCCTCAAACATCCACTGAGGCAAGCAATGTCAGATGTCAGGGTAAATGTTGATTAATGCTTTGTTGTCTTATGTTACATCATTTCCACCGTGTGACAGGTTTGATGGAGACTGCATGGAGAACAACCCAGAGACTGGAATGGATAAGTCTAAACCCTGGAGTCATTCTATAGAAGACCTGCATAGGGGAAGCACTCTGCCATCTCCCATCACCGGGAGTGGCATCACACGTGCTGGACGACATTCCACGATACGGTATGATACACACAAGTTACCACTGATGGTGGTGGTTTTTCCTTTCGGCGTTCTGCTTTTCTGAGTTACTAAGTGTTTGGCTGGAGCAGTGTGACTGTATTATGATTATTTTGAGAAGTCACACATTTCATATGATGCCTCAGCGGCCTGTTTGTGTGGTCATGAGGTCTGTAAGACTTTAAATGGCTTAAGAAATTTTTTTTTTAGCAGCATGCAAATACCATTTGTCTGGAATTGTTTTGGCATTGTCAGACTGGTTTTTCACATGATTATGACACATGATTGACATGTGCTGCATCAACTTCCCTTCGACAACTGATGCAGCAGAAGGAAAATTCTCTTTTATGGAGCTTTTTTTTTCCGGATTTCTTTTTATGGTCACCATACAGACCAGTTTAAGTCCAGATCCTGTGCACACAGGATTTTACAGCTGTTAATTCATAAGCCCATGCTAATATATCCTCTGAAGCACAAATCCCATTCAGTGCATTATTTTTCTAATCCTCCCTGTCATTCTGTCGATGTTTTGGTACAGCACTTGCATTGACTTCTGGGACCTCTAGTCCTTTATTTTGAAGAGGTTAATTTGAAGGCATTTTATACAATTCTACTGATTCAATGGGTCACTTTTTTTTTTTTAAATATGAGATCTTTGCATGAAAATAACCTTTTCATTCATTCTTTGAGTTGTTTTCTATTGGCCATTGCCAAGTTAAAAAAGGTTTTCTTGCTAACTAATACAGTACATATAAAGTTAGTAGATGTAGCACAGAAGAAACTTAGGTTTCACTCATTTGTTCCACCTTATTTCAGAAACTCGTATACTAAACCAGGTTTGCCATTGTAATTCAGTGCCCACTGTGGTAACATCCTATGTCCCCAAAGTGATGAAATTACTGGACTATTCCAGTAATTGTCACTTATACATACAGTATTTTAACTGTACAGTGCCAGCAGAGATATCGGCCCTTAATAATCTGTAAAATGACCACCTGTATGTGCTTGACATCACTTGTAAGTCTCTGCTGCCTCCAGACATTACTGTTGTGTCATCACTCCCGAGCATGTGGAGTATGTGTAACAGGTCAGAGCGTCTCCAGTGAGCCTGATTCTCTCCTCTGTTCTCTCCTGGTATTCCTCCATAGTCATCTACTCATGTGTCTGCCACCCTTCAACAGCAGGCAGGTCTCAGCTTCGCTCTGCTGGCTCACAGTGAGCTTTCTGCAGCTTAACCATCCCTAGACACATAGTGCTGTAGGCAGATGCACACATGGACACACACTCTGTCTCCTCACCTTAATGTACCTCCCTGCTACCGCTGCCCATTTTATTTCTCCTGCTGTTTGTGTCGGGGATGTGAAGTATTTGTACTGCTAGCCTCCCCTATTGCGCTGCAGACTGAAATCTCCTTTCCTTGGAGCAAATGGGGTTTTCTGCTTAGTGTTCTTACCTTTGTGCCTGTGTGCTGCTTGTGTGGCTCCCTAAATGCCATTCTGTGCAGAAGCCTACAAAACCGTGTAAAAGCTAAACACAAGCCTATAACAGAGAGATTAGATAAACTCAAAAAGTCTTATGTTCTGTGGATGCTTTATCTGTTTTCCTGTTTGATAAATGATGTCACTGGGTAAATCCCAGTTCCCTTATTTGATTATAAGTCATTCCGGTCCACCATCTTGAAGGACATCCCAAAGCTCCTCTTCCTGCTCTGAGGAGTGAGCGGGCTGCCTGGAGGAGCCAGAAGTGTTATGTGGACAGACACACCCCTTTGTTGGAAATCAACTGGCGATTGGATGTTTCATATGAAGAATGGGAGGAAAGGATGTCTCATCTCTGCAAAAACACGATTCCTCAATTCCTCTCTCCTCGCATGTTTTCTTGGCATCTTACGTGTGCGGCACTAAGACTCAAGAAAAAGACGCAAGTGAGGAAAATGTGAATATAATTAAGGAAAATGGGATTTACCCATTAAATATGAAGCATTTGCTTTGGTCTTCAGAGGTTTAATAATTTTACATGTCTTACATGTTCATTTGTCTATTATTAAGAATTGCTGTCCTCTCATCCTGTCATCACTCTTTAGATTAGCTCTGAGTTAGAATTATCTGACCTTAATAGCTGACAGCAGACATCCTGTCATCACTCTTTAGATTAGCTATGAGTTAGAATTAGCTGACAGCAGCTACATGTCTGATTGAGTTGTACCTGTATTTATCTTCTTCAACTGGCATCTTGAAGGACACCAAGCACACTGAGCTGTCCAAAGTGCTCTCACATAAGATGGTATGTCTATGGAGTTTGATGGACTTAGCTAGAAATACATAGCTGTGTTTGTCTGTATTTTGTAGCCTGTAGTTGTAGTTATAGTTTTTATGAGTGGCATTAATTAGAGCAAATTCTTTTTATTATGGTTTTTGCACAGTATTTTGTAACCAGAATATCAAATGGTGAGTGTCTCAGACCTCTTTCCTGCTTAATGCAAATAAATGACTTGACTCACCTTTTACTCCAGCTTTGTGCACCTTTTCTGCATGGACACAGATTCAATATGGCATAATTTTCATAGTTGTTTGCTTATTGCGAATGTATATTTTGCTATCAGTCAGATTTTCTTTATCCTGTCTCTAACTAGTCCAGAGTTGTACGTCACCTTTACCAGGATCAAAAGGCAGCACTCATCACAGATTCAGATTAAAATCTTGTTGTCTACAGAGCATTGAATGTTCTTGGTCATGCAACTTGTGTCCCTGTACATGTGCAAATGCCCCAGCATGTCCTTACGGTAGATCTAACACTAAATGGTATGGCAATGAGGACTTCTCATTAACTTTATTGCTTTTCTCCCTGTGCTGTAAATCCCTCTGGATTCACTGTGTTGTGTTTTTAGTTGACTAGCATCAAATATGTCAAAGCATGTTAAGGTATTTCACTTAGCTGATGTTACGTAGTTATTTATCATTAGTTCTATTTGTGTTTAAGAAATATTGCTATCTCATTTCCTCCCTAGTGTGCTGTGACTCATGTTGGATGTTGATCAATCATGAGAGGAATAGGCATCCTTTAGGAATTTATTTTATTTTTTGCTGCTGTGTGAATCAGGCGCTCCAGTTGTCAGAAGGTACCACAGGAGTCGACTCCATTTATGTCAGGGACCTTGTTTTGCACATCCTGCTGAGCACAACATATACAATACTAATAGATACAAAGACACATAAACTTACATAGTAACTGTTAGTTGTATGTGAGGACACAAAGTGTTTTTTAAGACATGAAATGTAATAGTTTTCTGTCTTATTTTAGCATGAACCTCGCTAATAAAGATGACCGGAACCATCTTTGTTCTAAAACTGCTGCGTCTTCCTTTTTCAGAAACACACATGGAGTTGTTCACTGAGCAGTCATGCCTTCAGGCACGTTAGCTGACAGGAATCAACATGTCTGATTCAGTAGCTTGAAGATACGGTTTTCCCCAGAACTTAGGCTGGTAAATGAGCCTTATGAAGTCTGCAAATAAATAGTTTTGCTCTGATTGGTTCTGCATATTATTCACTAATACTGCTGCTCCAGCATTTCTCCTCTATTGTGAGAGCTGTGCTATGAGAAAAAGCCTTGTTTTTGTTCACATTAAGCTGCACAAACACCGTGCTGCATGCAAATGACTGGCCGCTATTGTGTTAGCTGTAAGTGATATCTTTGTGAAGGACATTAAATTAAAACAATTGAAAGAGGGCAGCCTGTGTTCCCCGGTTGAAGCTGTAGATTCTGTGGCCTTTTTGTGTGTTAATGTACGATGGCATGTCAGTTTAATAGCCTCCCTATTTATTAATGGCATCTGTTTCTTGTTTATTCAGGCTTTGAGCTCTCTTGTTTGCATTCAGATGCTCATAGACCTGACATTTCATTTAGTAAACTAGACCTCTTAATTGTTTTTTTTGTCTTTTCAATAATCTTCCAGTTGTAACACACTGCCCAGCCGGCGGACACTGAAAAACTCCAGACTGGTCTCTAAGAAAGACGATGTTCACGTCTGCATCATGTGCCTGCGTGCCATCATGAACTACCAGGTCAGCCCTCTGCAGACATCCCCACAGACTGTTATCACTCTGCGTTGAAGTACACTTTTCCAACTGAGGCCAAATTCAGTTTGTTCCACTACTAGTTTTCCATGTTTCATTTTTTATGTAGATGAATGCACCTCTGGCTCATCCAGTGGTTCATCTTCTTTGTTATTAACTTATTTGACTTTCTCCCTCTCACTCATTTTCCAGTATGGCTTCAACATGGTCATGTCACACCCACATGCTGTGAATGAAATTGCTTTAAGTCTCAACAATAAAAATCCAAGGTAAGTCCTAATCAAAAGCCAAAAATATCTTAAAATCTACCAACTGAGTTGAAATATTCAGTAATAGATTAGTTTGGTTCAGAGCTTAACAAATCCAGATATTTTACTAACTTGGACCTGAAATCATAATCACTTACTCAGAGTCCAACCTTGACCTCAGTGCACCTGCATAGTCTGATCCAGAGGGAGTTTTCTGTTGCTCGGGGGACACATTCATCCAGACAGACAGGCCAGGCCAGGCCAGGCCGCTGCTGTCACACTCTGCTGCACTTGCAGGGCCGCCACAGAAGGACCTGCTTCTGCCTATGTGTGAATGAGCGGGGTTGGTGCTCACTTCATGAACCGGGGCTTATGGGTTTCCTCAAAAGTGGATATGAAACCACTTCACATCATCTGTCACATATCATCTCATCCAGGCAGAGAAATCCCGCACGAATGAGCCACAGACTGGACGCACAGGATGATTGTGTGCTCAAATACACACACCTACCTACATACATACACAGACTAAACCTCAAGTTTTACTTATTTGTTGTTTGTTTTCTCCTTTCAGGCACAGACCAATCAAAAAAAAATTTAACAGGCATGAAATGACAAGGACATTCATCGTAATAAACACTGTGTTTCTACTTGTCTGCTCTGTGTTTAAATGAAGGTTTGCTGCAATTCTGGCACTTGTCATTTCCTCACCTTCTGCTCTTATTTTCCCTGTTTTACAGAACTAAAGCTCTGGTCTTGGAGCTCCTGGCGGCAGTTTGTCTCGTGAGAGGAGGCCATGAAATTATTCTCTCTGCGTTTGACAACTTTAAGGAGGTATGAGCCGCATGAAGAGGGGACGTGGAGTCTTGACGAGACAAATATGTCATTACATTTCAGCTGTGCAGGTTCAAATGGTGACTTAGCCCTAGAGGAATGCTCCTCTGGCAGATGTGAGACCAGTACAATCCTCATTACAGAAAAGGGATAGCATCTAGGAATGAGCTTTTTGTTAGAGTGCAAACAGCAGGTTAGATGCATAACACAGGGCGACCTTCAGAGAAAACTATTACGTGTATGGTAACTCGATTTGGCAGACAAATCAAAGCTCAGAAGAGCAGAGAGACAAATGTAAGAGACAGCCTTGTCTGTCTGGATAAGGGATTCTGGCTGCTGGAGGGAAGAGGGGGAGGGTTTTGATGGAGGTTTT